TGGGTGGATAGATGGATGGGTGGGTAGATGGGTGGATGGATGGATGGATGGATGGATGGGATGGGTTGGAAAGCCATTCAACTAATGCAGTGGTGCCTGAACTCAGTCAAAACCCTAAAGACAGCTGAGCATTCTCTACCTGTGTGTCCCTTGATGGCACACTGTGTGGTCAAATAACACACCAGCATGGCCATCACTGCCACAGTATGAGATGCCCTCCTCTCTATGGGGTCCAGACCCAGGGTGTTGCGTCCTATGACCATGTGGTAGGTTCAGTTCTCCAACCTTGGTTTTATGACATGATTTGAATGTGCCCACATAGTCATATGATCCAAATATATTTGGCTAAGTTTATAGATAGCACTGTTACCATTCTTAGCCTGTGCCCCTAAAAGCCAGATTTAATTAATAAGCCAATTAAAAGAGCCAAATTAATAATGAAATGCAGAAAAGGGAGACCTAGTCAATGTGGCCACCCTGAGAAGAGGGACACAGAGAGATCCAGTGACCTCAAGTCCATCTTTAGGATGATTAAGTAGAGGGCCGGGGCGATGCGTCTCTAAGCTGTCCTGGTCAAGGTGTGGTCCTGCCTGTCACTGACCCATGGCTGTCTGTCCTGGAGGGTGGTCTGACCATCTGCAAACGTCAAGAGAAAAATGTCCCCAGGCTTTAGGCTTCCTGTTCTCCCACCATCAGGCCCCTGAGGGCACCCCAACTTCTCGGGAGTCCATTGTTTCAAAGGCCTGAGAGGCAAAGTAAGGGGCAGCAAGTTGTCTTTGGACTGTCTTCATCCCTACCAGACTGGACACGGGACATTTTAAGTTACATAATAAGCCTGTGCTTCCTGATTGGTACTAAACAGGTGATGCTGTCTGCATGGCAAGAAAACACAGGGTCAACCTACCTCTACGTTTACGCTTAAAGTACACCAAGCGCAGGATGTAAAATGGAGTCACAGCAGCCAGGGAACAAAGGTCCGTGGTCCCCATATCCTAATGGCCTGTCCCTACAGACCTAACTTCCTTTGCTAAGCCCCACATTCTAGAGTCTCCATCACCTCCCAGTGGAGCTTCAGGCTGTCAGTCAAGCCTTTGGCGGACCCATACCATACCAGGCCTGCGTTGTTAG